CAATACCCCTCTTATGGACCATGAAGCCTAAGAACTTTCCTAAGCTGACGTCAAATGCGCACTTCTCAGGATTCAACTTCATCATGTAGGCTCTCAACACATTGAAGGTCTCCTATAGGTGTGTTACATGATTTGCGGCTGTTACACTCTTCACCAACATGTCGTCTACATAGACTTCCATCGTCTTTCCAATTTGGGCCTCAAACATCTTGTTGACGAGACGCTGATATGTGGCTCCGGCGTTCTTAAGTCCGAAAGGCATCACCCTGTAATAATAAGTGCCACTCGGGGTGATGAACGAGGTCTTCTCTTGACCTGGAGGGAACATGCTGATTTGATTGTACCCAGAGTAGGCGTCCAAAAAACTTAAAAGCTCATGTCCATCAGTGGCGTCAATGAGGAGGTCGATGCGTGAGACAAGATAGCTATCTTTGGGATAGGCTTTGTTGAGCTCCGTGAAGTCCACGCAGGGGCACCACTTCCCATTGGCCTTTATTACCAACACCACATTAAATAGCCAGTCTGCGTAGGCTACCTCTGTCACTGACCCATTCGTTAACAGCTTGTCTACCTCCTTCTCCATGGCTTGCCCTCTCTCAGTACTTATACTCCTCAACTTCTAGCAGATAGGCTTGTATTTAGGGTCAACATTGACTCGGTGGGAGGCCACCTCGAGGTCAATGCCCTCCAAGTCTTCGTGGGACCAGGTGAAGACATCTATGTTCTGCCTGATGAAGTCTACCAAGGCGAATGCCTGCTCCTAGGAGAGTGAGGAGTCTATGTAGACCTTCCTCTCTAGAAGGTTGTTGTCGACCACTACAGGCTAAAGCTCTTCTGTAAGTTCACCCCTCTCCAAGGTATTGTCGTTCCTCGGGTCAAACATCTCTATTTGGAGAGTTTCATGTGGTCTTCTGGCCCTCATAGAGGCCACATAGCACTCTCTGACTGAGACCTAGTCTCCCCCGATCTCCCCAATCCCACTAGAGGTTGAAAAGCGGAGGAGAAGGTGGTAGGTTGATGGTATTGCCATTAGGGCGTTAAGGGAAGGGTGTCCAAGTATTACATTGTGGCAAACAGAATGTCGGCTGAGCTTTCACTATCGACTAAGACCCTCTTGACCTGGTAGTTGGCCACCATCAAGGTCAAAACTAGAGGGTCATCATGTGGGACCTGGATCCCCTTAAGGTTTTTGTCTAAAAAGGTGATGACCTCTTCCTCCCCACATTGGGGTGTCTTCATCGGGCAAGAGTATTGTAACTCTGCTTGTCTGGCTCTCCAGGCGTGCACCTTCCTGGCAGAGTTGGAATCACCTCCTCCTCCTAATCCTCCGACGATGGTTTGAATCTCACTAAAGGGTTGCTGGTGCTCTCATTCTTCGTGTGGTGGGGCAGGTCCTCAACCAGCAACATACTGTCTCAATTGGCCGCACTGAATAAGCTCGTTGATCTGTTTCTTGAGCTGGAAGCAGTCGTCTGTGTCATGACAATAGTCGCAGTGGAAGTGATAGTTCTTGCCAGGATTTCAGCGCTTCGGGTCAGATTTCATCTTTCCGAGCCAACAAAGTGCAGGGTCATCTTTCTGGAACAGGATGTGCTCCACTGAGGCATTGAGTGGAGTGAATGGTTGTCGATCTCTCAGGGGCAGTGGTCCAAGACGGTCTTTCAGAGAGACTCTCTTGGCTTTTTTCCTCTTATTCTTGGTCTCCCTCTTGGCTTCACGGGTATCTTTTCTCTTTTCTCTTTTCTTCTCCTCGAGAAAACTCACCACGGTGGGCCTTGGTGATGTCCTCGACATTCATGTATTTTTTATGCCCTGGACAGTAGCTCGGGCATGTTGAATGGTGGCTTCTTAAGAACGGAGAACATGAAGCTGGAAGTGCGAAGACCGACGATAAAGGTGGCCAAGGATACCTTATCATCTGGCTCTTCAACCTGGAGGACCTTCTCATTGAAGCGGGTAAGGTAGTCTCGGAGGCTTTCATCCCTATCCTACTTGATGCTGAGCAAGTGGGTCACTGACTTTTGATGTCGGTGTCCCCCAATAAAGTGAGAGACGAAGGACCTACTCAGTTATGCAAAAGAGTGGATGGAGGAAGGTCTGATCTTGGAGAACCATTGGCAGGCAGACCCTTTCAAGGTGGTAGGAAAGACTCTATAAATAATCTCCTCAGACGCGTTGTAGAGTTGCATGAGGGACTTATATGTGTCGATATAGTCGAGGGGATCTTTAGTGCTATCGAAGATCTCGATGGTGGGCATCTTAAACTTTGAGGGCAAAGATAATTTACAATATCAGCAACAAAAGGTGTATCAGTACGTTTTACCAGGTAGTCCATAGTCTTGGGCGCCTGTGCCTTGATGGTGTTGAAGGCATCACCAAGTTGGTTTTGCACCTCCATAATCTTTTCGTCCCACTGATTGAGGACATCCTCAGTCGGGTGGTGGTACTGACTTTTATGGCCCCATATTGGCTATCTCTATCCTCGTTCTCTTGCGTAGGTACGTGCGGAAGGGGTATAGGAGAGCTCCCTGCACACTGAAGAGGGACCGCTGGGCGAGGGGCTCCCTGGTGTGGCTTTGGGGCATTCTGGCAAGGGCCCCCATGATGAGGGGCTTCGTGACGCCCCGAAAGGAGGGGTTGCTACTCCTCTCCTGTTAGAGGAAGTGGGGCTCCTCTTGCAAGGTGAGGGATGGTGCTTCCCTGGGCAAGCATTAGTTGAATGATTTGTTAGTTTTGCTTTACAAGCAGTTACATAGTCTATAAGAGTTGTTGTTGCCCGGCGGCGGGAGTCGCAGTTACAGATGATTTTGATGGTGCGAGGGGAGGCGGAGCCTCCTCCCAGTGGGCCAGATTATTGTTTTCTGGCTATTAGCTCATTGATCGGGTAGTGATTGTCATGGATTGAATGAGAGTAGAAAACTAGTCGTTCCCATAGACAACGCTAAACTGATGATGTATAAATCGATATTGCGCAAAATTAACAGTCAAGAATGTGTAAAGGGTGCAATTAATAAGCAGTGAACTGACAATTAATAGCAAAACAACAAATAATAGCAAACACACAAATTTATAGTAGTTTGGTCCAGATGACCTACTCCACTCTCGGGAACGACAGCGGTGATTGGAGTTTTTTATTAATGAATGAAATTGCTAGAGAGGGTATTCTCAAGGAGTATTACAGTGCTTAAAGAGAGAGCAACGTGTGTAGGGAGATATGTAGAGATTTCAAGGTGATGCCCTCACTAAGGAGGTGAGGTAGTGACGTGAGAAAGGGGGTTTCTACCATTTTGGTAAGTACAATTTTAGTAGGATTGGATCTATGTATCCCAATATTTTTTTTCCTCGTATTCCTATTTAGTTAGAGGATGATCTTGAGTTGGATTGGCCTCGATCCTGAGCCTGGACTTTGAGTTAGAGTAGACTAGACTTGAGTTGAAGTAATTCCAATGGTGCTAATGAAGAATGAGGAGGAGAAAGCGGAGGACGACGAAGAGGCAGGGAGCCGGCCCATGGGCAGCGCCCTTTTGGGTTCCTTGGGCAGCTCCCCCCTTTGGGGATCCTTGGTGATGGCCTCTTGGTTGCTTTGGGAATTGACCTCTTGATGTCTTTTTGGATTTCTTCTTGATGGGTTGACCCAGCTTTGATTGGGCTTTCTGGGTTTATCTAAATTGGGCTTGGCCCAGTCAAATTCGGGCTCATCAAGCTTAAATCTCACTTTTTTCCTGTAATTTGTTTGCTTAATTTTAGATTTTTTACTGACTTAAATATTAGAGTGCCTCCGAATAGGTAAACCTGGGTATGTGATAATTTATTTGTCTTGCATGGGGAAGGTGCACCTAGCTCGTTTCAATTGATCATGGTCATTCAATTCTCAAACTAGTCACCTTTGATTTTATCTTATTAAAGTAAGTATATTGTTTACAAAACTAATTTCTCATGGTAACTTAATTAAACTTGTAGCCAAGCATTTCATTATTTTCTTATTCATCTGTCTCTGTGTGTAGCAAACAATCAAGACACTATCTCCACAGCTAGGTGATCACCACTAAATCAACACACGCACAAACTCAACCCAAAGTCATTTCCCAATCAAAATTTCCACTTGAATTTATCATGGATGGTCACATTTTTGGACATAACCATAGTATCATATCTTTGCATTCAAATTAGTCCAAGTCTTACCTGCAATTCCACAACATGATTTTAACAATGATTTTTCGTCCAACCCAACGTGAACAAGCATTACAAGGTCATTTAAACGTAATTGACCATTCAAGATCATATATTAGCTTTTATGAACAAGTTTTTTTTTTCCCCTTGGAACTATTCACCAAAATCAGTTGCACGATGAAGAATTGTGTGGGAAGCTGCATAGTAGTCGGCATAAATTGTAACATGAGGAAATCCAAGCCTGAGCAACTATTTTGAGTTCATTGGACAAAAATAGGTCAATTTGTTCGTGATTTGAGCAACTATTTTTTTGCTCGGACCAGACTATTTTGAGATCGTGTCTCTCATGTCAGTTTGTTGGTGATTTGAGTTCAAGGGTACTAGATTTAGTTCAGTGTTAAATTGGTCATGATTTTCATCCATCTTATCGAAACTGTTTAAGAGATGATCTATTATTGTTCATTCACAAATGGACCCATTGATTGCTCATGGTGGATGTCACTTACTGAATGTGTGGTTATGATAATTTGTTTACTAGTTATGCCTCTCTATTTTTGTTGCCTGTTGGTTACCGACCGTCGGTCTCCTCTTTTATCCGGTTTGACATTGTAACAATGTGCTTCTTCTTCTCTTGGATCTCAACCAATCCATTTTTCAGTCATTCACAGTGATCAATAGCTGAGCCTTTCATATCTTCGCGATAAAACCCAGAAAATCTCATGACCAAGTACCTCCTTCAGTCTTTCTTCAACTTACAAGGTCTATAATTTGAAGGAGAGTTTGATTTCCTACGATCTTAGATGAAGCTGTCGCAAGCAAATAAAAAAGAGGATTACTTTCATTTATAAATATTGCAGTGATTACACCCTTTATCATAAATTGATGGTCATACAGTACTTTCATGCTTGAATTTTCGTGTACAATAACTTCCTCACCTTAACCACTTTACATTCTGTAACAATCCAAACTTTGCATATAGTCAAACTACTAAATGTATCGTATTCTAGGGAAGATATCGGGTAAGAGAATTTCTGTAATAAGACGGTAGGCTTCCTGAGTCAAATGGACTCCATCCCAGCTTATGTATTGAGCATGATTACGACAAAAAGGCACACCACTAGACCCACATACTCTGTTCTGATCGTAGTTGTATAGCCCTCCAATTCCACAACATGATCTTAATAGTGATTTTTCGTCGAACCCTACATACAAATGCATTACAATTCCATAATTCATCATTTCAGATCATAAATCAGGTTGTATGAACATGTTGATTTTGCCTCTTTTCTATTTTTTAACTACTCACCGAAATCAACTGCATGATGAAGAATTGTTTGGTAAGCTGCATAGTAGTCGGCATAAATTATATTAGCGTGAGGAAATTCTAGCCTGAGTAAGGCCAAAGACTGCTGAAGATAGTTATTCTGAACCAATACTAGCTCATTTAATTCTTTTGAGCATCCCATATCATCATAGGCCGTCACATCACTACCAGAGACTATTGTCAGGCCGGCCGGTATGCATCCCATTGGAAGATTTCCGGGAACTATGATATTCACAGCACCAAGGTGTATCACTTCCTGCACAACATGATAATGACACCCAAGGTGAATTATGGTACATAATAATTGCATTACCTAGATTGCAAGAATAGTTTCTGCGTGTGCAGGATAAAATTGTGTACATCTGATTCTTCCAAAACTTGACAGTGACGAAAGTCTCATGTATGGAGCCACCGAATAGCTTTTTTTTGGCGAATAATTGATTGAGCCATTGACAGGAGTTCTATGGGCACTTCTTCAGATTTCGAAAAGAAATAAAATAAATAGCGAAGATAGGAAATAACTAAATTGTGAAAATAATCTATATCTGTCTATATCTATATCTATATCTATCTATCTATATCTATTCTATATTACTTCTACAAGTGGTTTAAGGATAAAAAAAATTTAATTTGCTTATTTGACATTTAGAAATTCTATAATGTCTATTTTATCCGTATTTCAAGAATCCTTATTGATTTATTGGTTGCATTAATTCAATTAATAAATTCATTGTTTGGTTTTTGATTATCTTCTTTACAAACATTACAAATCTGATCCAAATCTACTATAAAATATTAACAAAAGTAAAAAAATTTGATCAACTATTGTACATTTAAACAATTATATAATACCATTTTTTTATTGCCACTCCATCTTCCAAACAAATAATTTTTAATTAATATACTTTAAGTGCAGGTTATGTATCGATCAATATAATATATATTTATACTACTTATCAATGTTAGCATCTGTAAAAAAATTTTGATTTTCTATTTTATCTGTAATTATTATAATAAAGTCAATTATACGCACATATATACTTTTATCTAATTTTTATTTTTTATTTAACTTTCAACTTGTTTTAGACTATTTTATAAAGACTTTTAATATATACTTTTATCTAATTTTTATTTTTTATTTGACTTTCAACTTGTTTTACACTATTTTATAAAGATTTTTAAATTCTTTTGAATTTATTTATTAGTTGTACAGTTACATACAATCTTCTATATCTATATGAATAAGTAAAGTCATGTATATGTTAAATTATTATACACATAGTTTCTAGATTGAATTCCATAGTCAAATATATGTTATATTTTATTTTTTAGTATGCAATAATATAATAATATAATAAATGATCTAATCAATCTATTTAATAAAATAAAAAATTAATAATTATATAATATAATTAGCTGTGCAAATGCCTAAAATAAATGACAAATTAAGTACTCAAAGACTTATAAAATAAACTAATAATAATTAAAATACGGATTAATTATTCAACATCTAATTTATTATTTAATTTAATTACACATGTAATTCACCTTTTTTATAAAAACTATTATTTAAATTTATTTATGTGCAACGCACGTCATGTATTGCTAGTATAAACATAAATTTATAAATAACTAATAATTTAAATATTAATATGAATAAAACTACATATAAAAATACCTTGAGTGGAAAAAATTAAATTTTCTAATTTTATCCTTAAATAATCCCTCAATAACAATTTGATCCTTCATTATTGTCTAATGTAACTGATCTGCATTAAGTGTATCAGCTAATAATACATTGTTCAAGTGAAAGTGGATAGTCAAAAGTATCATCTTTTCATCTACCCTTAGATAATGGAAGTTCAATTGCAACTCTCATTTAAAGCAATAACAAGATGACTATTTGTATGTACTTGCAAATCATACATGAAAAGCTAGTCGTAAGTAAAAGAGCTTAGTGCATATGTGAAGGGCCACAAAAAGTCTAAGAGTCCACCCCAATTCGTCGCTGATTAAGTATGTTGTCAAGTTTTAGTTTGGACCCTAAAGTTTTAATAAAACAATCAAGTTCTGAGAGTTTTAATTGAGTTTCAGTTTTCTCTTGACATGAAAATTTTGTGTTTTCCTATTCTGACCTTACTCAATCTTACAAATATACAACTGGGTTGAAACCTGAATAGTTTTATACTTCCATTTTCTTGCTTTTAGAATAGGATTTTTGTGAATACTATCAACTGCATTCTAATTTCTTTTTACGAGTCGTTACAAATTATTAGCTAATCTTTTCGTTGATGAGTTCACTTATGTAATTTTTACGATAATAATATAGAGCATTTTGTGACCAAAATGAAACACATGCAATGCACTTATGCACTAACTAGCCATATAGAAACTTACTCTTACAACATTAGTAATGGCCTCTATGATATATGGCTGATAAGTGTGAATCTCTTGAATGGATTTGCCTTGAATGATAGCATAGTTAAGATCATTGCCTCCGATCTCGCCCACAAAGACAAGAGCCTTGCTAAGCAGCTCCTCACATTCTGAACAACCATAAGGGAAAAAATTCAGACAATTTGAGTTATATATAGGATGTTCCATGGTATCAAAAGTAACTTCTTGATGCCGTATATAGGGTTTCTATTCCTGAAATCATCGTAGTTTTGATGACATGGTTTTCAATGTAAAAGCATAAATAATACTTTTTTTTTATTAAAAGCGTGTTTTCCAGCATTTATATAAAAAAGCGTAGATATACAATTACGGTTTTCACCAAAGATACTGTAATGTAGATATAAGTCACGGTATTTGGGGAATGAAGTTATGAAACAATCGTGAAATAGCAACAAACTACACAAACCTGCTGGTGCTTGGCAGATGGTGTTGAGATGGAATTTAAACCAGTTAAGCTGATCACCCAAGGAAATATTAGTGAATGGATTATAAATGCCCTTTGCGGTGAAGAAAGTATAGTCCAATGCTGTACTTCCGGCTACCGCAAAGTTGGCACCATGATCGAATGTGGCGTTGCTGTCCAGATAAGGATTAAGCAGTGGGAGAGAAAGAGCAATGGCTGTGAATCATCATCCACATAAAATAAGTTTAGCCATGTTTATTATTCTGCCAAAACACATACACATACACATACACAAATAGGGATGGAACCATGATTTTATGCTGAGGGGGCTAAACTAAATAGTGGTCCAATTTAAAATTTATTTAATGAGATTAGTCAAGAAGTCATCGTTAATGTCAAGTAGATGATATTTTTTAGCGAGAAAAGATGATATTTTGAGATGAATTTTGTACAATTTGATCAAACTAGATGAAAATTAGATCAATCTTAAATATTGTTATGTTTTTATAAGTTGAGAATTCAACTTCTTAACTGTAATTTATATACGCTTTTAGGTGACTTGTGCAATGCATTCTTCTTTTTTTTTTCTTTTGTATAGTTAAAATGTAAATAAGCTGTTACAATATTTATTGTTGTTAAATTGTGTACTGTGATTAAAATATAAATAAATTTAAACATTTGTGGGTCCAATGTAGATCGTAAGTTAACTGTTGGATCGTAGTTTTAATTGATTTAAGGCTTTGTTGTGTTTTTTTACCTTAGTTAAAACATAAATGAATGGATAAAATATTTACTCCGGTTAAAATATACTTAGAGTGATTGTATTGGTATGTGAGTTTTTAAAAATGTTTACTAAAGGTTAAAATGTAAGTGTAGTTTAACTTTTTATAGTGGTCATAATATAAATATACTAGTTATTCTTCGTACCTGAAAAAATGAAGTAATAAAACAATGGTAAATAAAAAATATATTTGTATTTACACCTAAAATTAAATCACAAACATAGAGGAGGCATAAATAAGTTTAAACACCGATTGTAATAGGGGGGTGAACAGTGATTGTGGTGGTGGTGGGAGACGGTAATGGTTATGCTGAGTGGCGNGAAATGAAGTAATAAAACAATGGTAAATAAAAAATATATTTGTATTTACACCCAAAATTAAATCACAAACATAGAGGAGGCATAAATAAGTTTAAACACCGATTGTAATAGGGGTGAACAGTGATTGTGGTGGTGGTGGGAGACGGTAATGGTTATGCTGAGTGGCGACGATTGTGGTGATGGTGTTAGCCGTGGGTGGGAACGGTGAAGATGGTGGTGATTTTTGGGTGACAATGGTGTAGTAGCAGCCATGGGTGATGACGGTGGTGGTGGACGACAGTGAAGGTAGTTGACAGTGGTGGTGGTGACGGTGGGTTATTATGTTGGGTAGTGATGATGNAGTGAAGATGGTGGTGATTTTTGGGTGACAATGGTGTAGTAGCAGTCATGGGTGATGACGGTGGTGGTGGACGACAGTGAAGGTAGTTGACAGTGGTGGTGGTGACGGTGGGTTATTATGTTGGGTAGTGATGATGGTTGGGGGTAGGTGTGATGGGGGTGAATGATAGTAGTTGGCGACAACGAGTAGTGGTCAGTTGTGATACGGGGAGGTGGTGGGTAACAATGGTGGTGATGAGTGCTGACGGTAAGCGACGGTGATAGTGGAATGANGGGGGTAGGTGTGATGGGGGTGAATGATAGTAGTTGGCGACAACGAGTAGTGGTCAGTTGTGATACGGGGGAGGTGGTGGGTAACAATGGTGGTGATGAGTGCTGACGGTAAGCGACGGTGATAGTGGAATGATAGTGGTAGTTTTAACTAATATAAGAATGAGAAGATGATGGCGCTAGGTTGTAAAGGTGGACGACAGTTATAGCAATCGGTATTGGGTGGCGATGGTGCTAATGGTGGGACAGTGGTAGTGGTGGTCAGGGTGGCAATGTTGGTCGGGGTGGGGTGACAACGGCGGCGACGACAATAGTAGTGGAGGGGGGGCAGCTGTGACAGTGGTGGCGGCAGGCGGTGATAATAGTTGTAAGGGTGATGGTGGGATAGTGGTGGTGGTGATAGGTGGCTGCNAGTGGTGGCGGCCGGCGGTGATAATAGTTGTAAGGGTGATGGTGGGATAGTGGTGGTGGTGATAGGTGGCTGCAATACTGGTGTTAGTGGTGGTTGTTATGGGGATGGGGCAGTGGGCGTCGTGGTGGTGGTTAGGATGCAATGGTGGGGGATTGATGTAATGACAATGGTGGTGGTGACGACAGTGGTGATTTTTGCGGCATATGTTATGGTGGGGTGGTAATGGTATTGATGGTGGAGGTGGTAGTGAGGTGGTGGTGGTGGGTGGTGGTGGTTGTGATTGTTGTGGGAGTGATGGTGTAGTGGGGGTGGAGGTAGTGGTGACGATGGTAGTGGGACAGTGGATGTGGTAGAGGTAGTGGTAAGGTGGCAACAGTGGTGGTAGTTATGGTGGTGGGGTGACAATGGTGGTGGTAGTAATGATGATGGTGGGACAATGGAGGTAATTATGGTAGTACTTTTTTTTTTATTTAAAATACTCATCAGAAATTATAAGTTTTTGAAGTAGATTTTAAAAAGTTACCCCAAACACACTCTTGTGAGCTTATTTTTTATATTAAATTTGAAATGTTAATATTAACCTTCGGATTAACTTTAAAATAAAATTTAAAGAGATCTTTATCAAAAAAGTAAAAATTATTTTATTTATTTTTTAAAATTAAATTGTATTGTACTTTATTATATAGATTTAAAATGTTTTGTACAATTAACATATTGATTGTTATTAAAAAATAAATCATAAAATTAACCGTTAGATCAATTTAAGCTGATGTACTATAAATTTCAAAAATTTTATATAAATAGCCCCTTTACTGATGGGTGTGTAGAATGCCGATTGCGATATTGAATGGTGGTTGTAGTTGTTGACCCAAGTGGTTGTGCTAGTTTGGTGGTTGGTCCACTTAGTTAATTACATATATGCCGTATTAATTGTATATATAAATAGAATAATATGACAAATATAACCAAAGCAAATATCTAAAAAGGCAACACATATTTATTTTGGGACTATATTGCTACTTTTATACTTGATTGAATGTGTAAAATGAAAATTTTAATTTTTCATATTGTAAATTGAAACTTTAAGACTATTTTAGAATACAAAGTTTTTATTTACCTTTTTTTTTTTGNATTGTCAGGCTAATAATGTAAAGCAGTATCATCACCTCACACTGTCTGCCAAGGGGACACATGGCGAATAGACTGAAAGCAACGTTTTTTAACTGTTTGCTTTTTAATCTATAAAACTTAGTTAGAATGAAGAATAACTTGGGGGGGGTGGGTTGCTGAGGCTAATTATTTGAATAATAAAATGAGATTATAAAATTAAGGAACAGGGAGCAGATGGAGGTACGAGGATAAAATAAAGACAAGTAGTACCACCTAACACCCACTGCTTCAGAGCTTTTCACCAAAAACGGGAAACTGGACAAAAAAAACTCCAACCAATGTACTGGTTTTGAAATTAATTCCCATTTGAAAAAAAAAAAAACTAATTTTTAAATCCAATTATTTTTTTGGAAAAATCTCATTTTGCCCCCTAAAAGTTATAAAAATTTTCAATTTTTTTTCTGAATGATTAATTTTTTTACATCCTTCTTAAAAATAAAAATAAAAATAAAAATTTTACAATGTGATCCAAAAATATTGCAATTTGCTTCCAAAAAAGGTTGCAACAAAAATATATTTAGACCACATTATAATATTTTTATTTCATTAAATGACCAATGTAAAAAAATTACTCATTTAAAAGACAAGTTGAAATTTTTTGTATCTTTTATAGGATAAAATGAATATTTTTCCAGTTTTTAACAAATAAACGTTGGTTAAGATAAAAACATTGCGATAAAAAAACATCATTATAATTGATGATTAAACCCACTGCTAACTCCATTAACACATGTCAAAATAACCTCAGCATCCCTCTATCCTCCTCCAAAAGCAGACCTCGTCTCCTTTTTCTCCCATAGACTAAAAATGTATCTCTTCCATTCCTCTCTCTACAGCAAACACAACCAAAAATTGTCGCATCATTGCCGCATGCCTTAACTCCTTAATCTTTATCAACAACGAAATAGAAAAAAAGAGAATTACTATAATTCCAAAAAAAAAAAATCAATGGAAATCCAGCCAAAAATCCAAAATAATAAGGAACAAAATCGAAATTGGAAATGGGAAAATCAAAATTCAACTAAAATTGATAAAAAAATACAAAATCGAATCAAATTTGAAAATAAAAAAACAACCAAGATCGCAACGAAACAGAGTCAATTTCTTATTAGCGCACNAATACAAAATCAAATCAAATTTGAAAATAAAAAAATAAAAAAACAACCAAGATCGCAACGAAACAGAGTCAATTTCTTATTAGCGCACAATTCCACTTACGATCACTCACTGTTGTAATTTCTGCACAAATATCGGCATAAATTGGTTCACTCACTGTGATAATTTCAGAGCAAACTTCACTTTGGCAAATTGGTTCATTAAGAAGTTTGAATATGGAGTTTGTTTGATTACACATCAAAGGTTCTTTGTAGGTGGGTTCTTTGGAGTACGTTTGATTGAGGAGGCTAGTGGTGAGCGGACTGGTTGGAGAAGAATAAAGAGGAAGAAGGGAAGAGGATAGTGGTGGCTCACGGTGGTGAAGTGTTTTTTTTTTAAGGGTATAGTACAAAATGTCCCCTAACTTTGGGTGATGTTGCAAATCAACTACCTCTTCTGATTTTAATTTCAATAAATTGCCCCCNAACATCAAAGGTTCTTTGTAGGTGGGTTCTTTGGAGTACGTTTGATTGTGGAGGCTAGTGGTGGGCGGACTGGTTGGAGAAGAATAAAGAGGAAGAAGGGAAGAGGATAGTGGTGGCTCACGGTGGTGAAGTGTTTTTTTTTAAGGGTATAGTACAAAATGTCCCTCTAACTGTGGGTGATGTTGCAAATCAACTACCTCTTCTGATTTTAATTTCAATAAATTGCCCCCTCAAAATTTGAATATGATTCAATTAACCCAAGCTAACAATAAAAAATAACAAAAGTCAATCATGTGCAAGTTACATGATCTCAGATTTGTTGAAAAGATAAAATTACCCATAATAAAAAAAAAATTCCTCACTTATAAATACTCTTCATTCCTCTCAAATACTTGCATTTTCCTAATCCCAGCGCC